GTGCTAGAGGCTTAAGGAAGAGAGCTCGAAGCTTTAACAAAGAGCTGAAGTCTAATACTGCTCCTGTCGCGGTCGACCACCGGCCACTACCGTCAACCACCACCTGTCGACTGTCATCGACCACCACCTGTCGGTCACTGTTGATCACCATCGGTCACCGTTCACTTCTTATAATAAGTTCATCCGTGTATACACGTTGTAAATCCAAAGAGTATTCAACATTTCTCACTTGTGGGACGAGGGATTGCATATGTAATCACCAGTTTATAGTGGATTTCTTCAGAAGGGCCAGACCTCGTCATTTTTTCCTTATTATGGGTTTTCTACGTAAGAACTTTTTGTGTCTCTACTGATTGTTTCTTTTATCTTACTTTGCGTTGATGTGTAGAAAAGATCACTTGAGTTCCTTTTTGTTTATGCATCCTTTTGGATGAAATTGCATTATAATGAAAGGTATTTTTTATGTTGTTGTTGCAAGTAAAATAGGTGTTGGATGTGGAGCAATGTGGAGGAGACTTGAAGAAAAGAATCTTCAATATGACTGGCACATTGGTGCTAGTCATAGCCTGACAACCCGAGAGGTTTGCGCCTATGCGCCAAGGTGTAGCGATATTGGCACCTAGACCCTAGACACAAGAGCGCCAAGACGCCCCTGCTGACTTCTGCAAACAGAGAGTCTGGCTCCTAAGCACCGGACCCCTGACGCCTAGGTGGTGCCAACAACTGCTGGAGGTCATTTTGGGTAGTTTGACCCAAGGGCGTGGGATGTTATTAAATGGCCAAGGAAGTTTTCAAGGTGTATTTTTTGGACAGCCTTTTGATGTACTTATTTAATGTAGAGAAAGAGAGGCTGAAGGATTAAGTAGGATAGGCTTTTAATAGCCAATTGGTGAGGAATTGAGTTCTAAAAGGAGAAGAGACTTCAGGATAGCAGTAGGGATCAAAATCCCTTTGGGTGGAGCGTCTTCAAAGCTTTATAAAAAAGAAGGAGATAAGTATTTGACTGCATGTACTATTGTATTTCTTTAAACTTATCAAACAGCAGATTTCCATTGTTATTTTCAAAGAAGCTTTGTGTTTTGTTCTCCATGTTTTATAAATAATTACTTTTATCTTACCTTATGATTCTTGAGTAGGATCTATAAGATTGTAAGATATTTTAATAGTTCTTTTTAAGTATTTAGCTTGATGTTTAACCTTCAGAACTTCATTTACTTTTCATTCTAGTCAAATGAATATTTAAAATGCGTTGTCACTCGGGAGAGCATTAGTAGAGCAATTAGGTTAATCAAATTGAACTATAGGGTAATGGTGCAAGTTCTTTGTATGGAGATATAAATGTTAAAGAAATAGTCTTTGATGAGTTTAAAACGTGATCTAACATATTAAATTCGTTTTAACCAATATTCTTTATACACTCAGGAGAGCGTAAAAAAGAGAATTGTTCCTATTTGTCACTAGCTACATTTACAATTAACACTTTACATTTCCTTTATTCCACACAGAACATTACAAGGGAGGGTAACTTATTAACTTGATATTCGTCAATACAATTAGGTTATGTAGGATTTCTACAGGATTTAGCCTTTAAAATTATTTATAATACCTTGGTATTAGTTTGCAGAACTTTAACATAATCTAAATTTCAAGCTAAGAACTAAACTAAGTAAGCTCAATTCTGCTCAGTTTAATTCCTTCGTTCGCTGTGGAATCGTCATTTCAAACTCAAAAATATGATATTACTGGTACAACATGTACATTTGTGTGAGACCCCAGAGTGCAAGTGCACCCGGAGAAAGTATCAAGTTTTTGCCACTATTGTCGGGGAAGACGGTGTAGTTAACTTAGAAGAATTTTAATTGACCAATACTTAGACTTTAAAAATTTGTAGTGTTGTTTTTGAATTTTTGTGTTTTTTATTTAATTTCATGTTTGTTTATTTTAAAATACTTAAAAATTTGTGAGTTGTTTTTGAATTTTTGTGTTTTGACTTGTTTTTTGTGTGAATCTTACCTAGTAGATTCTTTAGTTAGTGTATGTGTAGTTTAGGACCTACATGACTTACACCATATGATTTATAGCAAGAGAAAAATATTATGAGGATTTGAATACATAAAAGACTTCACTAACTTATAGATTAAATGACGAACAATTCACAGAACAATGTAGAAACCAATGAACCAATTCACGATGTGCATAGACCATTAAGGGACTATGCTAATTCCAAGATAGGTGAAATTCACTTTAGCCTTTAAACCTACCATGAAAGCTAACACATTTGAACTTATATCTGTTATCATCCAAATGATGTAGAACAATCAGTTTGGGGGAATCCCGTCCGAAGATCCAAACTTACATTTAGCAACTTTCTCAGAATTTTGTGCTACATTCAATTATAATGGTGTTTCAAATGACACTGTTAGGCTTAAGATTATTCCCTTTTCCTAGATAGACAAGTTCAAAATTTGGTTAAATTCATTTGCCCCGGGATCAATTAAGAAATGAGGTGACTTATGCCATATATTCTTAGCTAAGTATTTTCTGGCTTAAAAAATGGTTATACTTAGGAATAATATTACTTTAATAGTCCAGCATGAAGGTGAATCAATATATGAAGCTCGAGAATGAATTAAGAAACTTCTTAAAAAGTGTCGCATCATGCACTCCCTGATTAGCTGATAATTCAGACCTTTTACAATGGTTTAGTAGGAACCCTTAAGTCAATTATTGATGTTGCAGCTGGTGGATCACTTATGTCAAAGTCATTTGATAAGGCGTATTCTCTCATAGAGGAGATGACCACTAATAATTTTCAATGGTCTTCTGAGAGAGTGAACCCTAAAAATGTAGCTAAGGTACATGACTCAGATGCGTTTTCAATTCTAACCTCTCAGGTAGCAGCCATATCAAGGAAGCTGTAGCAATTTGGAATGAACCAACCTCAGGACCACCAGTAATTAAGGAAAAATCATTTGGACAATTGGTTGATGCTAACACTTCATCATTTGAGATCCTAAATGTGATTAACAGTGTACCTAATAACTCTTATTTCAATTTTTATAACCCATGTTCGAATAATTATCCTAACTTTAACTGAAATAACAATTCTCTTGCAGGAAACCTTCAATAAGGGAATAATCAGGAAAATCTTTTTTGAAATTAGAACAATCAAAGTTGTACCAACTTCAGACCTTCTTATCTTCAAGGATTTAACTAACCCACAATTCAATGAGAAGAAACTGTCTTGGGAGGAAGTTGTATTGCAGATGGGGAAACAATTGCAAAGTCAAGGTGTATCAATTAAGAACATAGAGAACCAGTTGGGACATATTACTAACTCACTTAGCAATGGACCTCAAGGAGCTCTTCTTAGCGACACTGAGATTACGCTAAAGAGAAGAATAGTGAGCATGTGAAAGCTATGAAGTTAAGAAGTGGATGAGAATTGGAAGAGGTGGTTCATAAAGACTCTGAGATTGAAAAGGAGAATATAAAACTTTAAAAACCTTCAAAAATTATTTCTAAAGACTTAGAAAAATTAGTCTCACCAGCTAAGATTAATTTAGAAAAATCACCTCCACCATTTCCTTAGAGACTCCAGAAGCAAAAACTGAATCAACATTTTTTTTTCAATTTTTGGAAGTATTTAAAAAACTGACTATTAACATGCCTCTTGTTGAGCTGTTAGAAGAAATGCTTAGTTATGTAAAGTTTATGAAAGAGATTCTTAATAAGAAGATAAAGTTTGGAGATTATTAGATCGTCGCACTCAGCGAAGAATGTAATGTTATCATACAGAAGAAGCTTCCTAAAAAACATAAGGATCCTGGGAACATTACCATCCCATGTGTAATTGGAGAAAAATATTATGGGAAAGCGTTATGTGATCTTGGAGACAAAATTAACCTTATGCCACTATCTATTTTTAAAACATTATTGTGATAATATTAATGTTTTGTTGGAGAGTTGTTGGAGGAGGGATTATCTCGTGACATTAATGAGTAGTATTTTTAAACTATTATTATGATAGTATTAATTATTATTTTAATAGTTTTATTTTTAATTTTGTTTGTTGTGTTATTCATTATTTAGTGAGGTGTCAGTTTTTATTTTGTAACAATCAAATTGAATATTTGTTTTCATGTATGAAATATAGAACCATAACTGATTCTACTATAAACAACACTATGCTACAAGAACATAAATGTCATTTGTTCAAAAATAACTGCAACACAGCTGTTGCAAAACTCCAAAATCCAAACAAACATGCAGTATTTCCGCAATAGCTTTTGCATAGCAGTTTTTTAATAAGCTGCAGCAACCCCAACCACACCCTTATAATGTCTTTGTTTAAGCTTTTGGACCATGTTTATAGATATATATAATTCTTCACATTTTTTTATAATTATATACATGTATACTTAATGTTTATATATATATATA